ATTAAACCTGCCCTCACTGTGACCGCACCTTCACCTCACACATCGGCCTGGTCGGTCACTTGCGAATCCATCGCACAGAGACTGGCGAACCAGTGCCTGGAGCACCAACCTACACCCACCGCACTCGCCTCCACTGCCCACACTGCCCTCGCACCTTCACACATCGCATGGGTCTACTCGGCCACATGCGCATCCACGAGAGCGGGATTGACCACAATTCCGATACAGCCACGCCATCCAACACATCCACCACGCCCAGACCAATCCTCGCTCCACCGTCACACGCGTCGACCACCACCACCAACACCACTGCTTCCTCTACAGCTGACACCGACACCGCCGACCTCTCATGCCCACATTGTCCACGCACCTTCACCTCACACATCGGCCTGGTCGGTCACTTGCGAATCCATCGCTCAGAGACTGGCGAACCAGTGCCTGGAGCACCAACCTACACTCACCGCACTCGCCTCCACTGCCCACACTGCCCTCGCACCTTCACGCATCGCATGGGTCTATTCGGCCACATGCGCGTCCACGACGACCTGCGGTAGACAACCGCCGGTCACACCACACATTCCCTCACTCCCTACCTCCTAACACCATCACCCCACCAGACATCAACCCCCACACACCTCATACACTCAACTGCCGCCTCCCACGCAAGTGGGAAGTGTGCATCTCGACTCGGTCTCCATGCGGCTTCGGCTGCAAGGGTGACTTGTGTCCGAGACTATCCCGACACGTCAAGCGTCGTGGATAGGAAGGTTGCTGATTTACGCCCGTTCTCGGTTCACGCAGTTCGTCACGTTGTGTGTGTGTTGTGTGTAGTGGCGGACTGGTGGGCTGGGGACGGGCGGCAACAGCACCTTCCACGGCACTCGCATGCAAGTGGGAGACACGCCGTTCTACCCCCGTTGTGTGAAACCCTGGTGTTTGTGTGTATGGGGGGCCAGGTCGTGCTGAGGCGCGCGCAGTCATGGTCAGTCGACCATGTCAGCCACCGCGCCCATTCCCCACTCCAGTCTACGGACCGGCTCGGACAGTGGCTGGGGTGTGGGAATGGGAAGGGAGAGTGAGGTCGACGACGCAGCGCATTTTCCTCACTATAAACAATCTGACGCGCTTGAAGCTATCACGGTGCGCTAAAAGCCGTGGCTTGGAAGGTTGGCAACTGACGGTGTACCTTGGACCTCCTCCTTCACTTGAGGCGGTCTGAGAGTCAGGCTGCAATGGCTCCTTTTTAATGTGGCCTTTATGGCACTCTCACCACAGTGTGGGATCCGAGCCAGGCGTTGGCGGCACGCCCAGGTGCGGCTTCGGCCGTGCCAGCCTCCAAATCTCTGTTGTGTTGGTTGAAATCCTGGTTATTGTTGTGTGGACCAGGGGGTGTGGTGGAACGCCAAGGTGAGGATCCGTCCGAGCCATCCACCTGCGGCCTCCCCCGTCTTCGGTCTTCTTGACTCTGTCTTGACACCGGACCCAGGCGGGGGAGGAGGAGAGAGTGTAGGTAGATGCAGCGCAAGTCTACTGGCACTATAAACCCTGCGCAAGTCACCGTCCCTGCTCTCACAATGCAGTCTGTGGGGCACACGGTGGACATAATCGAAATCGATGGTCAAACAATCGTGTGTGGCTGTCCACCCCCTTGATCGCCGCCGTTTTGTCGCACCTCCCTCTTGTCCGCCTCACGCTCCCTGTCGATTCACCGCTGGGATTGCGCGAGGCTTGTCACTTGCCTTGAGAGAACTCTAAGCCAGTCAACGCTATTCCCTCGCTGATTGGCCACATGCGGACACCACAGAGACGGAGCTGAGGGCGCGCACACGCGCTGGGAGCCGATAACCTCGATAGCCGACACCGACAAAGAACAAGTTGCCCGGAAAAACCGCTTGCGGATACTGCTTACAGAGCTTCTTGTACGCACCTTCTCACTAATAAAGGTTTTCCAACCCAAATCATCCTCCCTGACCTCTGACTTAGGCATCTTTGTGTTGTCGAGCATACCACATCAGCACCTACACGGTTTCTCGATCAGAAAGATGGTGTGGTTGCGCAAGAACTGAACGAGGACTGTGCCCGAACCGCAAATATCAAGCAAGACACCCTGCTTTTTGGGGGCACAAACAGTCAGTCAGTCTGTGCTTTTGGCACCAGAATGAGAAAATCAGGAGAGCGTGGAGTTTCTCTGCGGAAGCCAAGGACGGTGTGTTGGCAGTGCGGCGGTTGAAACTATGTGAATGAAGGCCCGTATCATCGTAAGAAATGATGCAGCTGTTCTCACAAGTACTAAAACGTGAACACCAAAAATATTTGACAGTGAATATTAACGGAGTACCTATCATACAGAAGGCAGACAGAGCATCTGATTTGACGATAATCACTGAGTACGTAGGAGCAAAAAGGGTCTCCAAATCCGAAGATATCAGGTGTTACGGCATGGGCTTAGAATGAGGCGCGTATAGAATTTGAAGAAGTTTTCAAGCAACTGTTTGTTTTCGAAATAAGACTCGCCTTGAAGATACAGGTGGTTATCTAACTGACGAAAGTGTATACATTTGCAAATAATTGCTAAGAACTCGTAAACTGACAGCAATGCATGGGTCCAATATCTATATTAGTAAAGAAAAACATTAAGAAAGTTGGAAACATAAAAGACATATTAAAGGTTTAGAAATAACTTTTTTAAAAATAGGAAAACTCCGGTACCGTCAAAAATGGTTATAATTGTGTAAACTTCCGTTTTAGATGAACAGAAAACCTGCCCATGAGAAAAGTGAGAAAATATGATAGCACAAGTAGGATACACTCTAAAAATAAGCTTTTAGTAAAGTTCACATTAAATATCCCTTAAGAGTTAGTGTCATCCCAGGTATGGCGGTATGCCAATAGTCTACTGTCTGAGTATAGATTCCAAAACGGTTTCCTGAGAATTCGTTGTACTCTTTACGCTTTTGAATTGGTTGAGATTTGGTCCAGTAAGGCAAACAAGATTTTGTTTGGTTTCGCTCATAGGGACGTCATAAGAATAAAATTTTCATGAGAGCACATGTTACCAGGCAGGGCAGGGAATATTAGAGTTAGATAGAATTGACAGGCGTAATCGTAAATATACCATCTTGTGTATGTAACGAAAACCTTTCTTTCGTAAAATAAATTTGCAATTTTTGTTTGTGTCGGATTACGTTGGGTTTCAGATCGGCCTTGAAATATGTCTGAATACTTCGAGATTTTCAGTGTTTTCAGTCGATTGCCCATAAGGACAGATTTTGTGCTATGGGCTTGTTAAAACCCTTAAAATAAGATACTTCTTGAAGGCATTTAGCAAAGTAGCAAGTAGGCGTACTTTTTCATGTAGAAGGTCGTTTGGGTCACATTTGAAGACCCACCCAAACACGAAGCTGCATTGTCAAATAAGATGAAAATGCGCAACAAAAGTCAACAACGAATGTACTTCCGACCAATGTGGAAACTTTCTCTAGTAAGCTACCTCTTTAAGGAGTTTTTTAATGCTGCATTCTGTTGAAGGATGTCTGTTTATCATACATTTTTGGACGGTGAGGCTAAGAAAATTTGACACTTTTGGCCGTTTCTTTCACGTTGCTATAAATTCTAATGTTTTTCCACTGCAAACGTAAGGACATGCCTTTCTCTTTATGTTGGGTCCTTTGTGTTAGCAAACTAATTCTCACGGTTGACATCGTACAAATATCAATTCTCAGGTTAGTAAACGTCAGGGATTCGGGTCGATAACCTGAGGAAAATTAACTGCTGACATTTTGGAGAGCTTGGTCTGCTCTCCATTATCAAAGCGCTTAGTGCAAAAATCGACCAGAATTTGGATAAATGGCCGAATTAGTTGGCCTTGGGCCGATCGATTTTTTTCTTCTTTCTCTGCCTTGGATCTCGGACGGTCGTTTGTGAATGTTGGTGGCCTCCTGTGTTGTGTCGTCACCTTAATTGGGGTTAGTTGCGTTTGTGCCCCCTTTTGGGTGAATCAGGTGACGGGTCGCGTTGGCTCGGTAGTCTTAAGCTCCGTGTGACCGTCTTGTCCTGGTCGTGGCGTATGTGGTGACGTAGGACTTTATAGGCCACAGGGAGGTCTAGAGGCCTGTTGATGGAGTTGGCATCTGAGTACCAAGCCTCAAGTGCGAGACGTTCTGTCCTTGAGGTGTCCCAGCCTAAGACGGCTGCTCCTTGAAAGTCAAAGCCGTGGCCAGTTTCTCCGATGTGGGTCGCGAGCTGTGGGTTTGGGTCTAGTCTTTGAGCCGCCAGCTCGTGCTCATGTAGGCGGGTCTGCAATTTCCGTCCGGTTTCCCCAACGTAGTCGCAGTCTCCATCGTTACAACATATTTGGTAGACAACTGCTGAGGTTTCAGTGGGTGACAGTATGTCATTGGGTTGCATCAGACGGCGACGAATTGTGGCCTGGGGTCGATGGCACTGCCTACCCTGGCGGGTTGTAACAATCGTGAAACCGCCCTGGAGACTCCTTTAATGTAAGGAATAGCCTTCCAGACTTTGGGTTTTCCTTCTTGTGGCCATTGTCTGTTCACTTGGCGCCCTCTTTGCTTGATAAAGTAGCTTGGATACCCATTAGCTCGAAGGAGGTCATGAAGTGTGTTTCAACTCTTTGGAATAGAGTACGGACACAGCTGCGTTTGTGAGAGAGGTGGTGATTGCTGTTGAAGTGTAGTATTTGTCTTGTGTTGGTGGCTTTTCTGAAAACCATAATTTGCAATTGCGCAGTTGCACACCTACGCACAAGGACATCGAGGAAGGGAATTTAATTGTTTGTTTCAGCTCCCATCGTGAATTCGATATTCGGGTCAACCGAGTTCAGTTATTCTTTAAGGTGATCCACGTCAGATGATTTGACGATGGGGAAAGTGTCAGCGACGCAACGAGCCCAGAACTTTGGTTGATACTTGGTGAACACCAAGTGTTCTATCAGTTGAAGGGCCACTTTAGCAGTCAGCCCTGATATGGAGGAGCCCATGGGGGTTCCTTTGATATGTTCATGCATTTGCCAACCAAAGGTGAAATATGTTTTTAGGCAATACCGTAAGAGCTCCATGAGATTTTCGGTCTTCCGGAGATTGTCTCTCTCGTTGCAGCGTTCAACCAGGAATTGTCTCACAACATCAATCGCTAGTTGTTGCGGAATGGAGTTGAAGAGTGAAACGATATCAAACGGTACCATGGATTCATCTGGCCATAATTTCAGACGCTTTAAACGTTCAAGGGACTGATTAGCAGAAGCCACTTTTGTTTTCGAACCTTCTGTCGGGAACTTAAGACAAGCAAACATCCATTTTGCCAAACCGTATTTAGGAGTGTCACGTAGGAAGACGATGGGCCTAAGCGGTATGTTCGTTTTGTGTACCTCCGGCAGACCGTAAAACAGGGTCGTGGCAGAGTCAGAGGGTTTCATAAGAAACCAATCTCTAACTGAGATTGCCCCATACGCTCTGAGTCTTGGCAGACTTTTGTTTATCTGAGTAAGTAGATTTTTCATTGCAATGGTTGAACAAAGTCTATGGGAGTGTGGTCG